AAAAAAAAAAAAAAAAAAAAAAAAGATTTTTTATTGAACCCAAGTCTTTAGACAGAGACAGGAGTTTAAACTCAGGCATATTGCCTTCCTATATCACAAACTCAGTACAATTTTACCAAAAATTATCCCTGAATCTCCTTCACCTAAAATAATTTTGTACTTCTTGATGCCCACTTCATTCTAACAATATATAGAATGTTCTACATAATTCCAATCATCACATATATGCAGTTTTAAGCTCGACTTTATCCTTTATCCATAATCATCACATTTAAGTGGCTCCATAAAACTCATGACATTTCTAAGCCATGACATGCCATTATTTATACAACCATTTCCATGTTTGTGTTACTTCTAGTTTTACCCTTGTGACTAATGCTGCTATAAACACTCTTGCACATAGAGCTTTTTTCCTCTTTTGAATTATTTTCTTGGGATGAACTCCCAGAAATAGGATTATGGGTTAGAGGGCATTGACACTTTTATGACTCTCCTTATGCATTGCCAGATTGCCTCCCAAAAAGATTGAACCAATTTACTCACTCCATTACATTAAAGGGGCTGAAGCCATGCTCATGGCTAAAGGGTTTTTACTGCCTTTCAAAGCAGGTGATTGATGGCACCTGAGCAGTGAGAGCCTCGGAAGTAATTTTCTTTTTCTCTGTCACAGATGACTCCAGGTGAGATTAAATTCTCTGTCCATGTGGAGTCTGTCCTGAATCGTGTACCTCAGCCAGAGTATCGCCAGCTTCTGGTTGAAGCCATCCTTGTCCTCACCATGCTAGCAGATATTGAAATTCATAGCATCGGAAGCATCATTGCTGTGGAAAAAATAGTGCACATTGCCAATGACTTGTTCCTTCAAGAACAGGTAGGTAAACTGGTTGTTTTCTCAGAGGAGAATTTTGACCTTAAGCTGACTGCATTCCAAGTTCCTCAGAAAGCCAAGATCACTTGGTTGTGCCTTCTTCCACATAGCTTTTTCCTCGGTTCCCTTCAATGGCTCTGAACTGCGTATGCAAAGGAAATGGGCCACAGGATGACCTCTGTCTTTGGTCATGTTTCTTTCTTCCTTTCTTTCAAGATTATTTTAAGATTTCCTATTTATTTATTTAGTGGTATTGGGTATGGAACCTGGGGCCCCATATGATAAACAGGTGCTTTACCAATGAGCTACAACCCCAGCCCATTTTATTTGATTTTTATTAACATATGTTAATTATACATATTAATCAGGTTCAATATGATATTTCCACACATGCATACAGTGTGTACCAATCAATTCCAGCCTCTCTTTATCTGCCTTTCTCACCCATGTGTTTTGTGGTTTGTTTTTTATGGTCAAGTTACCTGGAACTCAGGAGATAATATGCTTTTCCCTGAAAAGCCTGAAGCATAGCATTAGCATCATATTTCAAACTCTTGATCACAGTGCTTTTTGCAGCTTAAAATTGTTAGAGTTGTTAGAAATCCTTTCCGGGCTATTAAGGAAAAGAGAAAATTTGATTTTGGTTTTACTTTGCTTTTTCTTTTACTATTTATCTGTAGGAAAGCTTTAAAGTGAAACTTTTATTTATACATTTTCTTATTTTCTTAATAAATCTTCCATGAAATTAAGCACAGTAAAAAATAAAAACTATTTATTGAAGGTATTTCAAAGGTTGCCTGGATTAAGAGTAGAAGCACCTAAGGTGAAAGGGTATGATTATTGTCAACAGGAAATCTCTAAAACATAATAGGTATTTCATTCTCTTACTGTGAGAAGATACAGAAGAATATAAGATTTTCTAGGACTGTCCTAATTTTAAATATTCTAGATTGATGTCAATCGATGTGTTAGAAAATGTGATCCTTTTTAATAATAGATTCTAACCTTGGAAAGCTTATGGTCTATTTGAATTAAGTTGGCTTAGAAAGAAATAATGATTAAACACAAGATAAAAGAATACTAGTAGTATTAAAGAGTGTCAGACCAAAATCTCACTAGGGTGTTTTGTGAATGTTAACATTTGTCTCTGTAACTAACAGGTCTGACTCGTATAGTTGATTATTACTATATTACTTTCAAAACTACACTGTAATAGGGAAAATTCTAATCAATAATTTTAAATAACTTCCATAATTTGGAGATCTAGTGAAAACGCATCTACAAAAACTGATATTCATTCTTCTATGTATAACCCTGATCCCTTCCTGGCTGAACAACTTAGGAACCAACTAATTGGTGATGGGGAGGAGGCTCTGAGTTATACTACTCAGGATTTCACTTAGTAGGATTAGTAATTTTTCCTTTCCCCTATGTTTTCTTACCCTTAAAAACCAAACAGAAAACTCTCGGCGCAGATGATAACATGTTGGCAAAGGATCCTGCATCTGGCATCTGTACTCTTCTGTATGACAGTGCACCCAGTGGCAGGTTTGGCACAATGACCTACCTCTCCAAGGCAGCCGCCACCTACGTGCAAGAGTTCCTGCCCCACAGCATCTGTGCCATGCAGTGAGGGCTTTGGGTCCTGGCTACTAGGAGTCTTTTGACAGCTGGTCCCTGTCTCAGTTGATTGTGCATGGAACTGAAATGTTAATGCCTGATCACTCCCCCCTTCCCCTTCCTGTCCCATCCTCCCAAGAAGAGAGAACTTTGCTGATAAACTAACTGCTTTAGAAGAAGTGAACCCTTACCTGGAGACTCACCTCCAGTGCATCTGCTCAACAAAGCCTTTCAATTATTGTCAATTCTTTCATGGTTCATAAAAGTTGCATGTGTTTTTATTCTATAGATCTATTGCCAGCTTAGTTTTCTAACTCCTGTTTGGGGAGCAGATATTAATAATAACTTATTCCTAAAGTTTGTTTTTTCTTATGTGTGGTTTTATTGTATATATGAATGGTGGATGCTTTGGGACATTCTTTCCAGTGAGTAGACTAAATTGTTAGATTTTACACTGCTGTAAATTGAAAATATCTATTCTAAGTGCCTTTTATTAGGAAAATAGAGTACTAGATCAGTTGGGTTCTTTTTCACTCACATGTTTCCTCACACTGATGAAGTATTCTGCATAGAATTATTGTCTCTCCTGTTGTCCTGTTGGTACCTGTACACATAGCCTGTACACATTCTCACATTGGTAAAATATTTTTAAAAAGCATGCACAGAATGTACATTTAAGGATTTCTGTATTAACACTTGAAACCACATTTTATGGAGATTGCTGTTACTCAGAGATGTGCTTGTAGCAGAACATGTGGAATAACCCAGACAAATGGAATCGGTACCCCAATTCCAAAGAGAAGGGAAAGGAGGGAAGACACCTGGGCAGTGTCTTATAAATGGGGAGTTGAGAGGACATCAGATGTGGGTTGGTTCCCTACAGACATCCTTGTGCACCAAATCCTTGCCTCTGAAGAGGGGGCCAAGAGAGTAATTGAGCCTGTCTTCAGCAAAGAGAAATCCAACAGTCCAATCTATAGCTGTTTTTCCAAGCATCCTCCTCTTGTGTTCTTAGTCTCTGCCTCACTTGTCTACTCACATTTGCCACATCCAACTAGCCCCTCTCAACTCCCTGCCCTGCATCCATTCTTAAAATCTTTCACTTATAATTTTACTTTCTAATTAAAGTGCTCATGTCCCTATATATCTTGGTATCTATGGGCATATATCTGTTTCTTATGAACATCTCTCTGTATGTATGTGTGCATGTATATATGTATAATTAGTAAAATAGTATGGAAATAGTTTGATATACCTGTACATCTTATCCTATATCTACATTTAGCAGACCAAGTAAGTATGTATGTATGAATGTCACATTTGAGAGTGGGCATGACTGTTCTCACGATGACAAAACTCAGTAGATTAAAAACAACTTCAATCCTTTTGTCTGAGCCTATGTGTAGTTAGCCTAGCTTGATAAAGATTTCTCATAATTTTCCTTCTGATTTGCTGGCAAAACCCTACTAATTTCCATTTGTATTCAGACAATTCCCTACTTCAATCCCCTTCATTCCCTCATATTTTAAGAGTTTTCTCCAAGAACATGAATGGGGAGGGTGGGGATGGGAGATTCTAAACACTTCATTTTGTAAGTATATGGAATAAGTGAGCACAGTAGAGTAATAGAAAACAGATGGTGGAAACAAAGAGACTATGGTCCACTTTTCAGTGCCTCTCTCCCAACAAATGGAAACACACAGTTAGTAGCTTTTTTATTTTTCTGGTTACCTTTAAAGAAAAGTACAACCTGTTCTGAAATCATTTGTCTTTTCACTAGCTGAAAGTGTACCCCAGTCACAGGAAGTACATCTAGAGTGTCAGAGGCAAAAGCCACCACTCCTTCTTGCACTCATTTCTCTGAATGAACACTGATGGCTGCATTTCTCTTGGTTTTCTAAGTTGTATATCATTATGATCCCCAGACAGATGCATTTAACTTTTAAAGGAAAATTTCAGAAAACTCTTCTGATGTTTTGTTCATTTTAGGTGTGTGATACTAAAAAAAGACATGTTAGACTTTTTTTTTAAAAGCACTTGTGTTTTGAAAATAGAATAAGAATTTCCAATTAAATAATATCTGATATCAATGCACAAAACTTGATATGTGTTTTTGTGATTGGAGATTATTTCATGGTTTTATTTTACATATTTTAATTATACAATACAATCTAAACTCATTAATTGGGTCAAATTAGAATAATATTAATACTAATACATATATGTTAGATAATATATGTAAAGAAACACGGTTTTGTTGTTCAAATACACACTCAAACTAGGCTTACTACATTCAAACAGGTTTCTAGGGAATCTGTTCTGGTGAAGAAATAAGACAGATAATTACTCAGCATTTCAATTGTGTACAAATGGTGCTTCTGCAATACTGGAGGGTACTTAGAACAGTTTGTTCTTCTAAGTATTATAAACATTTGGCATAATATAATTTATGATATTCATTAGCCATTTCTATAAGAAGAGGGGTTTATTCAGCAAGGATGAGTATTGTCTGTACAGTTCCATTCTGGTTAATTAGGTTTTGCTACATTCTGGGAATTTTATACAACTGGTGGGACAAAAGTTGTCATGGTTCATAACACCTCTCCCAACCATATTTTTGCTTACCCAGTACCTGGTGTCTGTACTAATGCAGTGGATATAAATACAGTATTTTCATGGCTGGTCTTCATTTTTTATTTAACTTGAGTGATCTCAGGTCTTGGTTTGTCCAGTATATCATCTATTTATCCCTGTTTTCCTGGCATAATTAGCATTAGTATTATCTGTCACCTTTAAAAGTTTCCCAGTTTGGATAATATGTTCACCCTATATTTAGCAGAAGTCTGATTTCAAAGCCAAGGACCCATTCTCAAACCAGTAGTACTTTCTGAAACCAGTAGTAGTAGTACTCTTTCAGTAGTGGCATGGATGTAAACATAACAGTGGGAGGAAACTTTCCAAAAATATATGACATGATTCTTACCAATGTTTGAGTGCTTACCAAATGCCCAACATTGCTATATAGGTACTGATCTTGCCTTCCCAATCACCATGAAAGGTAAATATTATGCTGTTCCTATCTTACAAATAAGGGAACAGAGACTCTGAGAGTTGAAGCAAATTGTCCAAGGTCAGTCAGCTAATGGGTGGTAGAACTGGAATTTGAACCCCTGCAGTCAGACTCTAGAGTTCACATTTTTAAGAACTATACTATCCAAGCAAAGACTTTAGGAGGTGGTGTGAAAAAAGGGGTCAGTGTGTTGAAGTATCAGTGGACAAATTGTGAAATGATTAAAGAAGTTGGCCAAAGGGATAGCACCCTAATGTGTGTGCTTTCCCTTCTGCCTGCTTATGCCAGCTAGTGAAGGCAGGGGAGAGTGCCAAAAGAAGTGCCACAGCCTCACCTATCCTTGCTGGGTTTTTTGTGGTTTTTTTTTTTTTTGTTTGTTTGTTTGTTTTTAGTTGTAGTTAACACAATACATTTATTTATTTATTTATTCATATGTGGTGTTGAGGATCAAACCCAGGGTGTTGCATGTGCGAGGCGAGCACTCTACCACTAAGCCACAACCCCAGCTCCTATCCTTGCTGGTTTTAAACATTACCTTTAACAATAATGCTTGAAGAAAGTGAATGAAGTAGCTTACACAGGGTTATCACCAGAGCAAACTTTGAAGCCAAGATTCACCTACTTCCTCTGACCTCATCCTCCAACTGCAAATCCAATGCTTTGGGAAGGGTTTTCTTCCCAATTCAAGGACAATAGGGGTGGTAATCGTGTCAAAAATTGAGGCTAGAGATCCGTGGCATTATATGGGTTCTGTCTTAATTATAAACAAGGATAGATTTGCTACAGGAATAAGCTGCCAATTCCAGAGCATTGTGCAACAATTTATCTTTCTCTAGAATTGAATCATTTTGCCACATTGTGTTCTATATAAGGATACTGTTTCCAGTTTAGAAGCAATGCTCATGTGTTGAAGTGTTTGGCTATCTGTTGCTAGATCTGAAAGAACACTCAAAACAGTCCATTTCCATGTCATCTGATTAGAATTCAGAATTAAGGATGTCAGTCAGTCTGTATCCCATCCTGTTCCCTCCACTGCTTATCCCTAAAGGCTCAGGATAAGTTCCATTTCCTCCTTACACTGCCAGACTGTCATGATTTCACCTTTCAATCAACTGTTACAGCCACTTAGACACCTTCTCCTCTGACTACAAACACGTGCAGTTCTCTCAGCCTAAAAAAAAAAAAAAAAAATCCTGGGCTCTAATAACCCCTTAGGTGGATAGACTAATTTCTTTCACAATCACATTTCTTTGAAAAGGAAGCTGCACTTTACCAAGTTGGCTTCATCTCTTAACCTCTTATGATCTGGCTTCCTCTTCTACTGTCTGTGTTTCTTTCTTTTCTTTCTTTTTTTTTTCTTGTTGTTTCTTATTTTGTTTTCTGTTTTTTGATTCTTCCCTCCACACCCACAGGGCACCGATGAGCTTCTGGCGGCATCTTCAACCCTTGTTCAATACATGAGATATTGTTATTTCTCTTCCTTCTTGAAACCCTCTCATCCTGTGATTTATGTGAAACTGTACTACATTTGTTCTTACTTGACTAATTCTTTTTAGTCTCCTTTCTAGCATTTTTTTTTCCTCCTCAGAATCCTCACAAATAGGAATCTTCAAAAATTCCTTCTTAGCTCAAAGATTCTCACCATGGCTTGAGACAGGTTTTAATGACATGATACAGTTTACTCTTTTTTAAGAGAGAGAGAAGCACACTCTTGGTGGCTACACAGATGGTAGGGCCAAAAGAGTAAAAGTGGAGACCAGATGGATGTTGAAGAAAATTCAGTGGTGACATCATAGTACCCAGACTAGGATAGTGGCTGTGCAGAGTGAGGAAAGTGGGTGTATTTAAGGCATACCTTATAAGTAGAACTGAAAAATTGCTGATAGACTGGATCTACAGGTGAAGGAAAAGGAAGGAACACAAATAACTCCTGTATTTCCTGCTTAGGCAATTGGGTAGAGGTTGGTATTTTTATTGAGTCATGCAAAATAGGAAAGGGGTAGAGAGGACTAGAATGGGGAAATCAGGGGTCTGGTTTTAAAAATGTTAAATTGTATATTTATAACTATATGCATCCCAGTGAAGGAAGCCATATTATCTTGGTATGTCAGATACTCTTATTAATTCCTCTATCTCCTATTTATGTGAAAAAAATATGTGTGGTGTGTCACTGCAACTGTTTAACCCATTGATTTGTGAAACTCAAAACTTTTTTTTAATGTGTTGTGGCTATAGTGTATATATTAGCCAATATTGGTGGCTAATCTGCAGCTTTGCTATATTTTTATATATTTATTTTTTAGTTGTAGTTGAACACAATATCTTTATTTTTATGTGGTGCTGAGGATCGAACCTGAGTCCCGCCCGTGCTAGGCGAGCGCTCTACCACTGAGCCACAATCACAGCCCCATCAAAACTTTTTAATAATTATAAAATCACACTAATGTCTGTTCTGCTTGGTGTTTTGTTTTGATATGTGTGTGTATGTGTGTGTTTGTCTTGTTTTTGTTTTTTTACATATTTTTGTATGTGCTAGGGATAGAACCCAGGGTTTCATTTATGCTAAGCATATGTTCTTTCACTGAGCTACAGCCCCAGCCCTAAGCCCTTTCATTTATTGGTACTATTAGACTTCTCTTCACTCAGACTCTAATTTTCCAGTGACTGTCTTTTAATCTTCCTCCCTCTCACCAATATCCAAGTAGTAAGGAAGTCCTATTGAACCTACCTTGTGCATTATCTCTCCCTGTTTCTATTGCTGCCCCTCCCAGTTTAAATCATTATCACTTCTTATCAGGAAAGTTGGGACACTCACTCCTCTAGTCTTTCAATGACTAATCTGCCCTATGCACTTCTTCTGTAGAAATATTTTTAAGATTTCTATCTAAGGGGTTGGGTGTATAGCTTGTTAGTAGAGCATTTGCCTGGCATGCACAAGGCCCTGGATTTGATTCCAGCACTGAAAAAAAAATTCTGTCTAAATTGCTCCCCATTTCCAACAGAATGAAGTTTGTATTCTTTAGCCCTTCATGATTTGGCCACTTAACTAAATTCACACTTTTCCTTTGTATTTTTGTGTATGTTGGTCATTTCTAGTCAGCATGCTCTCCTCTGGCTCCTGTCTTCACTGAGCAAAGTCTTCTAAGACCTCTAAAACCTTCTCAAATTCCACTGAGTAAGAATCTCACTTGTAATTTAGTGAATGCCAATTATTAAGTACTTATTTATTAAGCTAAACATCCTACATTCATTATCTGATCATATGGCATATGGTTTCTTGGACATTGTCTCATCTTTTCTATAAGAATGCAGATTTATTGAGAGTGGAAAGCAGATTGTAATTCATCTTTGAATCCACAGCTGCACTGTACAATTAATTGATGTGGGCAAATATTTGATGAATGAATGATTACAAACTTTGAAATAGTTGCTATAGGAAGATATAAAAGAGGCATAAGAGCTTACATTCTAGTTAGAGGGTAATACATCTCTCTCTCTCTCTCTCTCTCTCTCTCTCTCTCTCTCTCTCACACACACACACACACACACACACACACACACACACACACACATTTTCCAGAGTACTAAATATTGAGGGGATACAAAATGGGAGAGTTGAACAAAGTTATATGTAACACAAAGTTATCCCAGAGGAATCAAGTTCATATAGTATAAGGAATGTTCAAAGTTTCAGTGTAAGGTAATTCTGGTTTTGAATTCCTGGTTTTCCACTCATTAAGTGTGACTTTGAACAGTGATTTTTCTCTCTTCAAACTGAATCTGTAAAGTGGGCATATTACAACCTCCTTTAGAGGACTGTTTCAAGGATAAAAGGTGATAATATTTCCACAAAGTACATATCACAATGTTCTATAAATGTTTAAAGAGTAAAGAGCAAGCTAGATTTTTTAACATTGCTGTATTCTTATACCTCTAATTAATTAGTTAATTAGAGGTATATTAATTAGAGGTATAATTCTAGGCTCTACCCACTGAGCTACAACTGTAGCCCCTCAATCTAGACTTTTAAAGAAGGTATGGATATTGGATGGTCTCTGGGGTATTAGTAGGTCATTTCACTAAGAATTGGAGGCTTGAGCATTGGCCACCTTGTATCAGATCATGGGGACATTCAGGAACCTGAAAATGCCAATGGCAATTCTAACACTGCCTCAGCATATCTAACTGAACCCACACACCAAATCTAAAATATTTTTCTAACCTTTATTTAACTATAGAAGTCAAAGGAGGCAGGGAAGAAGAGGTGCAATTTCCAAGCATCACTGAAAGCATCTTCGTGCATCCTTCCTATCACATGAATGTTCAAGGAGTACATTTGACATTATTGCTTGATTGGAATCTACTAAGCAATTTCCACAGTACCAGCTAGTCTCTTGGGAAAGTGCTAACAGATTTGCCAGGATAAATTATTGAAACTGTTATTCTTACATGGACAATTATGAAAAGCAATGAAACTAAAATTGCTTCACAGAATTTACTATGTAAACTTTTCAGACCATTTATACCATTAATCCCCCATCCAAAAGCCCATCTTTAGAATAGGTGGTTGATGGTGGGCTCTAGGTGGTCACACTCTATCTATCTTTAGATATATTTAAACAGCTATATTTTCAGATTGAAACGACTCATAAAGAGTTGAGGCTGCATTTTTTTTTAAGCGCTAAAACTCAAATACGCGGCTCTTTTAAGGATTAGCCCCAGCTCTTCCGCTGCTCAACCCCCTGAAAACTACACCTCCCAGCATGCTCTGAAACGAGTCTGACCTCATCTCAAATGGTTCCGTAGGGCAACAAGGGTGGTTAGTTTTGACAGTATTTATTTGTGCCATAAAAAAACAATCGATCCTATTTAACAACTATTTGGGCTTTTATATCTACCAAACCTCCTTTTTTGAGCTGTGGTCACTAAATGAAGGGCTTCTGGTCTGAGAGAGTCTATCTATTCCCTCAATTGGATGGGTAGCGGGGACAGTGTCTCCTGTGATCTCAAGAATAGGAGGGAATGTTGACTAGGGAACACCACTGCGGCCGTTCAGAGGAGCAGGAACCAGAGCCCGGGCTGAGTCCCAAAAAAGCCGGATCCGGACCGTGGCTCCAAAACGGTTGGAAGTGGAAGATGGAGGAGCCAGAGGAGCCGGCAGATGGTGGGCAGTCGCTACCTCCAGTTTACATCTACAGTCCGGAGTATGTCAGCTTGTGTGACTCCCTGGCCAAGGTCCCCAAACGGGTAAGAGAAGTCAGACTGAAAGACCATGGGTTTGGGGAGCAGAGGATAGGGGTCTGGACGAGAGGGCATTAGGAAGCAAAGGATACTGAACTGGGGAATATCTTTATAGAGATTTTGTGTCGGGTACCTAAAGCTATAAAGAGGAAGTGATCCTGTATGGTTTCTAAGAGCGCAGCGTGTCTCTGCGGGGCATCCAACAGACACTGGTGGGGGTGGGGTGAGGGTCGGGGGGAGGGGACTGAGGAGATGGAGTTTGAATTACAATGGGATTCCCTTAAGTCTTGGAAAAGAAGCTGATGGAGAAAAGTGTTCTATCACTTGCATAAGGCCCAACAGCTTCCGTCTTGGCAATTTGATACTTTGTATCTGTATTGTCTACAGTGTATTCTAACTGTATTGTCTAAAGTGTATCGTAACTGTTAAGTAACAGAAAGAAAGAGAGCCAAACACAAAGAAAGAGAGTTGATGGGATTTCACTGAATTAAATTTTTAAGAGACTGTTTTATGCCTTTTTTTTATGCTGATATTTTTAGGCCAGTATGGTACATTCTCTGATTGAAGCATATGCACTGCATAAGCAAATGAGGTAAGTTGTCCTTCTCGAACATCCTCATCCCTGAAGCTATGTGATCATACCCTTAATGCCCTGCTTCACCATAGAGGTAATTAGGTAGAAAATGGTGCTTTTTTAAAGTTGTGTGTGTGTGTGTGTGTGTGTGTGTGTGTGTGTGTGAGAGAGAGAGAGAGAGAGAGAATGAATATGTGTGTGTAATCCCCCTACAACCTTGGAAAAGTTCATGAAGAGTTAAGAAATTTTGAAAAAAAATGCTTGGAAGTAGTTAAGACTCATTAGAAATAGGACTTTATTGCTGGGTGTGATAGGTGCTTTGTGGAGTTTGAGATGAGTACATTTGGCTACTAAAACATGTCTAACAGAAAAAGGAACCAACTGGATGTGGCCACACAGGTTTGTAATTCCAATGGCTCAGGATGCTGAAACAGGAGGTTTGCAAGCTGAAGGCCAGCCTGGGCAACTTAAAGAGACTCTGTCTCAAGATTAAAAAGAAAAAAAAGAGAAGAAAGGATTGGAGATATATAGTTCAGAGATAGAGTGCCCCTAGGTTCAATCCCTACTACTGAGAGAGGGGGCTGGTGGGAGAGGAGAAAAGATAAAGAAAAATGTGTTCAGCTGGAAGGTGTTCTGATTTTGTTTTGTTTTGGTTTTTAGTTTATTTATTTTGTTTTTCCCTACACCAAATCTGAGGATGTGGGTTCAACTTATAAGTTTTAGGCATGCAGCTGCCACCATCAAACTTTAATGGGTGAACTTGGAGACAAAGTGAACACACAGCCAGAACTGCTGAGACCAGGCCAGAACTCAGAAGAGAGCTACAAGCTTCTTTGGGGGAAAAAAAAAAAAAAAAAAAAAAAAGCTTGATGCTTATTGCCAGTTCTACATTTGATGTCATTGCAAGTGTAACTATTAGGGACCTGCCACATGTAGGATTATTTATGACATTTTATGGCCAAATCGGTATCTATATCCAGTGTGCTGTACTTCATCTATCTCCCAGAAGGTAGTGTGGTAGGATTTTAGTTTTAATTATTTCTCTTTTGAGGGGAAGGGTACTGGAGATTGAACCCAGGGATGCTTTACTACTGAACCACATTTCCAAACCTTTTTAATTTTTTTTTTCAAGATAGGTCTCACTAAGTTGCTTAGGGCCTTGCTAAGTTGCTGAGGCTGGCCTCAAACTTTTGATCCTCTTGCCTCAGCCTCCCAAGTCATTGGAATTACAGATATACACCACCATGCCTGACAACAAAATAATTTCTTGCATACCTGTTTTGGGAATGTTTTTCAACCATCATTTAGTACATGTTTGGTAAATAGCTATAGACTTTTCATTAAAATTATTTAACATTTCAAAAATGATTTTATTACAAGCAACATAGCAAAGCAAAGCTATCTAATTTCCTTTTAACTTGTGAGGCTTCCAGTAAGTAGTTTTATACTTTAATATTTAACAAAATAAATTGGAGGGGTGCTATAAGAGGGAGCTATTAGGGATGAAAAACGTGGTCAAAGAAATTACAAAAATAATTTATTTTATTGGGCAAATTTTTATCTCTGATGGTATAGACATATTTTCTTGAAGAACAAGCAAGAACCCTTGGATTTTGGTAATATATTTAATTTTTAAGGCAAGATCATAGGATTTCTCTTGGCCATACGTGATTATACTAGTAGCTTGACTAGTACTAGTCATATGAATTCATGATGAGCTCATGGCCCTGCTTCCATTCAACAAACATAAAAAGCCATGACTGCTTCTCTCTGATTCAAGTCACTACTCCTTCAACTTGAATGTTCACATGAGTCACCTTGTTAAGATATATCATCTTGCTAAAATACAAATTCTGATTCACTAGGTCTGGGGTGAGACTGAAGTTCTGCATTCCTCATAAGCTCCCAGGGGCTGTTGATATTGGTAGTTCACAGAGCACCCTTTTGGTGGGAAGGGCTAGAGAATTTAGCAGCAAGTAGGGTCATGAAGAGGAAATGGGAAATGGACAGCTAGTGGTTACAGGTAAATCCCATTGCCAGACTAGCTCCCATTATTCTCCCATTCACTCCTGTTTGTTACTTCCTGTGAGGAGGAGGTTGAGAGGTTTTGCATGAAGCCCAGTTCTAATCATTTTGCCCCTTCCCACATTTTCCTCTCAGAAGCAGATATGAGAGACCTAGTATAGAAAAAATATATATTTTGAGTTCCCTATTTTTTATCCCATAATATTGATGAGTTATCCAAAAGAACTTTTGCATGTTATTTCATCTTCACATAAACCCTGTAAGGCTCCCTTTTTCACAAATGAGGAAACTGAGGTGTGGAACAGAAAGTTACCCAAGGATATAGAGGTAGTAAATACAGAGTTAGAACATGAACCCAGTTCTCAGAGTCCAAATTCAAAATGCATGATGATGCAGTTGCATATTAAAATAAATATATAGGGCTGGTGGTGTAGCTCAGTGGTAGAGCATGTGGTTAGTATATGCAGGACCATGGGTTTCATACCCAGCACCAAAACCAATATAAATAAATAAAATAAATCTCTGACTGAGGGGACTATATAGCCCAATTAGCAACTGATTCAAATGAAAATATCTCTGCCAACTGGTTTGCATGAAAGTTGTAACTCACAGAGTAAAGTTTGATCCCTGATTATTTGCTTAACCTAAATATTTTTTTATTCAAATAACTTATTTCCTTATTTTTTCCTACATATAAACTCAAGGGGGAAAGATCTGTCCTCTCGCCCCTTATTGATGGAGCCATCACTATAGAGGTGAGGAAGTGTAGACTGTACAGTGCAGTGGAGGAGCAGAATATATTTATTACTTCAGCCCACTGGAAATAGAACCTGGGAGTTGTACTTTTACTCAGACTGCTGGCTCCTGTTTCCAGCTTTTGGCATAACTCTGGGTCTGACTCATTCACCTCTCTTTGTTCTATCTGTTATTATTAGGATAGTGAAACCCAAAGTGGCCTCCATGGAGGAGATGGCTACATTCCACACTGATGCCTATCTGCAGCATCTCCAGAAAGTGAGCCAAGAAGGAGATGAGGATCATCCGGACTCCATAGAATATGGGCTAGGTTATGACTGTCCAGCCACTGAAGGGATATTTGACTATGCAGCAGCTGTAGGAGGGGCTACAATGACAGCTGCCCAGTGCCTGATTGATGGGATGTGCAAAGTAGCCATTAACTGGTCTGGTGGATGGCATCATGCAAAGAAGTAAGGAAATTATCTTTCTGCTCTCTCACCCTTTCCTTGAGTCAATTTCTCAGTTATGTAAACTCTTATGATTATCATATTGATGTTTACTGAGAAATGTGTATATCTAGTACTTTACAAGGAACTCTGAACAGATGCAAGTAAAATAGAAGATGACCTAATGTAATGGAAAGTACACTATCAAAAGTCAGGTCACCTTGACCCTACACCTAGTTTTTTCTGCTACTTTGGCTGACTAAGTGGGACAAATTAACCTCCCCTAGGCCTCAGTTTCTTCCTCAATAAAACAGGCAGGGCAAAGGATATAATTGGATAGTCTCTAAATTCCTCTTCAGCTTTCTAGAAATTCCCTGTGTCAACTGTCTTATTCTCTAGAAAAAAATTAACAAAATTAGAATAATCACAGAACACCAGAAATTATGGTACCAATGGATAATATGTATGAGTTGAAGAGACTTAGCAGGGGAAAATTAATCATGGAGGTCTTGAGAGAGATGCATTTTAGAACTAATTCTTTATAGGCATGGCAAATAGATTTTTGAATAGGTAAAGAATTGATGAGAATAGATTTAGAACAAAGAGCTGAAGAACCTAGAAGGAGGCTTATGGTTGCCAACTCTAAAGTAAGAGTCAATGTACAGTTAGATGTTTCTCTAAGGAGAAAAGGCTTGTGAAATGACTCTTCTTAGGTGCTCCTTGGGGTTAGAGGAAAAGTCTTTTTGGAGTTTTCTGTTAGCAATTCAGATAGTGATACTGTGTCTGATGAGAACTGCTGGGCCTCCAGCATTTGGTGTCTTGTTTGCTTTCTCAGTAGTACTTAGTACACATTGGGGGAGAAGGACTTTTAAAACTGAATGTATCAATCTGCTGAGTAAAAGGAAGCAGCTGTGGTAGTGACTGCCAATGTGTCATTCACAAATCAATTGTTCATGCAACCAACCATGGCCTTGTTACTCTTAGGTACAACGGAGTCAAAAGCAAATAGCATTTGTTTTTCCAGAAGAAAACATGGCACAATTTTAGCATATACAGGTTAAGATAGTAATATGCTATTATTTTGATCAAATTGACAGATTTCATGACAAAGGAAGACCTTGAAAAAGTTCAGTACTAGAATGTACTACTGAGGCAAAAGAGAGGACCCATGATTAATAATACATTTTACATGGTCTTAAAAACAAAGAAAAACAGCCTCCAATTTGTTAGCTTTAGTTTTATTTTTTCAAGTTCAAAATAAAGATGATGATCCCTAGGAGAAAAAAAAATGACTCTCTTCTCCTTCATGTTGCACAGTGAAAGGAGAAACCCAAGTTTCTCTGAATTAAGGACTTTAATGTCCTCTTGGGCTTAGTGATGGGGAATAAGAATGGTGTGGTATCATAGAAAACACATGCACCTCAAATCAGATCTAGTTTCTCATATATTTAAATACATGACAGAAGGCCTGCTAGGACCTGGAGTGTGCAGTGGAGTCTCAGACACCTGCCACTTCTTACTACTGTTTTGCTGCCAAACGACACACACTATCTTGAGCCACTCATGTCTGTCTGAGCTGTGTGCACGTTTGAGCATACCCACATATCATTATCTTAACTGTTTCAGGCATCTTCTGACCGGTCCTTTCAGCTGATCCTGCCTGGAAACATGCCTGCAATGAATGTAAATTACTGAGTTTCTAGGGATTGCCTCAGTTCAGGTCTGAATTCCAGGGTGTTCTTGACACCTCT